AGATTACTATAGTAGCTATTATTAAGTTATATTTCTACTTAACTATAATTATAAAGTTATTCTTAATATTATTAAGATATTTAGTAATATCTTTATTAATATAATATATTAATATTAAGACCTAGGTTTATAATAATATACTTAAGTTTAAGAAGGTCCTTTAAGACCTATTCTTCTCTAAGTCTTATATAAATATATTTATTACTAACACTTTATCTATAAATAGTGCTATTAAAAGAGCTAAAAGGATTATTATTAAAGTATCTTAAACTTAACTAATTAATATTAGTTTTTTAGAGGAACTTTAAAATTATATTATTAACTTTACTATTTAGATCTTTAACCTTCTTCTATAAGCTAATAAAAGTAAATTAAGTTTTTATAAGATTATAGCTTATAAGCTTAATCTTATAGCTAATTATAAGCTTCTATATATTAAATATCTTAAAATATTTAGATATATTACTTATATATATAAAAAGGGTTCTAATAAGCCTACTTATTTAGCTAAAATAGAAGCTAAAGTAATAAAAAGCTTTCTTATTAGTTATAGCTTACTTTATAGTTATATTTATTATATCTATATTCTTAATAAGAAGAAGGTATTTTACTACTAAGATATCTAATTTTATAAATAGCTTTAGAAGATAGTTCTTCTACTTATTACTAAAGCTCTTATTATTAATAATAGTAATTATACTATTCACTTTAATAATCTTAACTTTTTGATTTATTACTTTATTATATCTAATATAACTAATACTCCTAAGGAACCTATTATTAATATTAATAAGTAAACTTTTAATAATAAGAGTATTAATCTAGGGCCGCTAGCCTTATATTATGAAATTTAACTAGTATTAACTGCAAAAGCTAGACTGGTCCCCTCGCCCTCTACTAACAACCTTCAGGTCACATGACTACTTAGACATCTTCTTCACCTCCACGCTCCTCCATCAGTCAGTCCTTCAGGACTTCAACCATTACAACAAGCCTCAACCATCTTCCTCCAGCCGCCTCCATCTCCAAGGCTCCTCCAAGCCGCAACCGCCCTTTAGACGCCATATTCAATCCACGCCCATCTTCCGTTAAAGTCTCCTCCGCCATTCAGACGTCTATGCCACTCCGCTAGGCACAGCAGCCCCAAGGCCTCCATGCCATCACGCCGTTCAAACAACATCTTCCGCCCTGCTGCGCAGTCTTAACGTGGAGCCCTACCGCTATTAGCTATACTCTCACTATTAGATTCACCCTTCTTAACTTACTAACATTCTACTTAGGCTACCTTAGCTATCTTAAGGAAGCTTATAAAGTATTTATAAGTATTAGGATTATTATCAGTAACCTTAACTATATCTATATTAATCTTAAAGCTATATAACTCTAATATATCACACTTATTAGCTATCTTAAGTAGGTACTTCTAAGTAAATTTAAGCAGAATCTTTTTATTAATATATAAAAGGTTACTATACTTAGAGCCCTTAATTTTATTCGCTTTAGTTTTATAAATTAAGTCGTCTAAAGTAGCCTTATTTAGCCTATATATAAGTATAATAAGGGGGAAAGATATTATATAAAGTTATTACATATATAGGAGGATATAAGGAATAAGCTTAAAGCCTTATTTAAATAGTTAAGTTCTTATACTATAGCTATAAGAACCCTTTTAGCTACGCAAAGAGTTATACTATTAAGTTTACACCCTTAAGTATAAGTTTAAGCTATTACTAAGCTCTAGCTACGTTATAGAACGACGCTTTTATAACGTTATAAATAATATACTTATAAATAATAGCGTTATAAATAATACTCTTACTAATACGTTTTACTACTCTACCACCTACCTACTTACCTTCTTCTACTAGGGATAAGTTAAGCTAAGCGTTAATAACTAGTTATACTAAGATTTATTTATTTGCTTTATTAAGATTAGGTATAAGTTAAAATACTACTATTAGGTTTCAGTACTATAAAAAAAAGTATAGAGTGAACTGCAATACCTACTTATACAAGTTAACTAGACTGCTAACACAAAAGTATTAATCTAAAGCTAGCTTATATTAACTATATAATATTTCTACTTCTAGAAGAAGTCCTCTATTACTAAAATATTATAAAAGATATAACTATAGTAATTAATAATACTATATAAATATCTTTAGAGATTAATATATAGGATAATAATAATAATAACTTATTTAAGAGTATACTAAAAGATAAAGAAGCTAATTATAGAGATCTAGCTTATACTATAGATACTATTAAAAAGGTAACTAATATAATAGTCTTAGAGATAGTAGTTTAAAATAAACCTTATTAAGTAGCTTAGAAGTTTAAAGGATATTATTATTAGTTTACTAAAGTTTATAAGTATAAGAAGAAGCTCTTTATAGTTATTAATATTTAAGTTTTAAACTATACTTATTACTTTATATTTAGTATTATTATTACTATTACTTTATTAAAAGTTCTACTTAATAGTATTATTATTCTGAAGTTTTATAATAATACTAAGTTTAGTTTTTAGTAGTCTAACTAGAAAGTAGTATTTAAGTATAAAATATAGTAGTTTTATAATAAAGAAGTATATAAGCTTATATACTTTCTTTATAACATTAAGATCCTATTTAGTAAGTAAGTACTTAATATTAAAACTAATAATAATAATAAGATTATTTAATATAAAACTTATTAAGTAGTCTATAGTAACTATAAGCATAAAAATTAGTCTTCTTAAGAGGTTTATATAGTTATTACTATAGCTATTATAATCTATATATTCTTTACTATTATAGCTTTTTATAGACTTAAGTATAAGATATATAACTTTAATATAGCTTTCTTAACTACTTTTATCTTTAATAATATAAAAGTCTATATATACTAGCTTTTAAGCTTCTTTATAGATAATAGTAAGGTTTAGCTATTTTAAAAGGTATTTTATAGCTTTTATAAGAGCTCTTTTTAGTAATTTAACTATATTAGTATTAAGATATAAAAGCTTAGCTTTACTTCTATTAATAGTGAGATCTACTTATTTATTAATAAGTTATTTAGAGTTTATACTTTTATATATATTAATAATAATATTATTACTACTTTTAATAAGAAAATAACTAAGTAGGTTTATAATATACTTAATAAGGTTTATTTCTTTAAAAACCTTAATAAAGCTACTAAGTTTCTAGGTTTTTAGATTATTTAAGATTATACTAATAACTAAATCTTTATTAATTAGACTAAATATATTAAAACTATCCTTACTTACTTTAGATATAAAGATATTAATTTTATTAAGATTTTTATAATATTTTATAAGGAGCTATTAATAATATAGGACTTTAAAAAGTATATAGAGGAGGAATATACTATTTATATTAAAGAGACTAATTATTATAACTACTTTACTATTAATATATATCTTAATATATCTTATATTATTAGTAAGCTTAGCTAAACTAATATTAAACTTTTTAAAGCTTATTTTTATACTATAAAATATCTCTTTTAGTACTTTAAGAGAACTATTTATTATAATATTATTTTTAGTAGTTCTAACTTAATAATTAACTATAGTTTATATACTATAATAGATTTATCTTTTATAAATAATAAGCTTTCTTATATCTTAATTAGTAGTTATATTATTTATTTTATTAGTAGTTTAGTTATTTAGAAATTAAAAAAATAAACTTTTATTACTTTTAGTTTAATTAAAGCTAAATATATTAACTTAATACTTATTATAGTTATTATAAAGTAGCTATATTATATAGTTAAATAGCTTCTTAATTAGAAGATCTTTATATTTATTATTCTTTTTATTAATAACGCTAATATATATACTAATATTATAAACCTTCTTAATAAGGCTTAAACTTATTATATTAACCTCTATTATAAGTAAATTATTTAAGAAGCTATTTATAATAAAACTATTATAATCTATTAAATTAAAAGTAATAAAATACTTACTAATAGCTTTATAAAAAGCTTTAGTCCTTATAAGTATATTAAATTTATTAGAATACTAAGATTAATAGAAAGTTTTAATTAAGTATAAAAAAATAGAATAAAGGATATTAACTAGCTTAGAGAAGGATTAATCTAAACTTTTTAAACTAATTAGAAACTAAGGATTATTTAGTATTTTACTAAATTATTAAATAGTTAAAAACTCCTTATTTTTAAGCTTTTTAGTTTAAAGAGTAATTTTAACTAAAGTAGCTAGTTTATATATTAGCTAATACTATAAAGCTTAAGGGGGGGTATTAATAAGCTTTACTACTTAGTTACTACTTCTATAGTTTACTAGTAAGTACTAGAGGCTACTATATAGCCCTCTCTAGTACCCTAGTATCTAGCTAGTTCTTCTCTATAGCATATCACAGTTATCACTACGTTCTCACTATATATCTATAACCACGGTTAGAAAGTATCCACAAGTATGAAAAACAATTAGCATGATCTTGAAAGTCCTATTACACTTGAAGAGAGCGAAGGTTAGCGGGATGCTAAACACCTGGGCGCCTGGGCATCTTGAGATCATGTTTACATCTTTCCCTATCTCCGATACCAAGATGTGAAACGAACAGCACCGAAAAAACACACGCATCTGTTGGACATTATCGGAGAAAGGAAGACCTGTAGCAGATGGCATAGTCTAGATTGTTGCGTCAACGGTGAATCTGAAACTTAGCTTTCGACTCGTAATCGGAAGTATGTACTGATTGAAGTCTACTAGATGTGCAATCATCATATGAGACCCACTGCGTGTTGTTTGTTGAAATATTCTCTATTATGTATGGATTTTAGTTGATTATGCATGTTATGATGCACTTCTTTAGTAGTTTATAGTTCCGTGAAAGAATATCCGTGACGCCTGACCTGTACCTCCCAGGGTAAGAATTCCTCTCCCCTTGCCTTTCCCACGATTTTTATTCCTTAATTTTATGTGCATCTTGTGACCTTGTGCTCTCCTCTTGATGCAATGCACGTCATGGCCACAACCCATAGACAAACGGCTCAACCTCCGGGTAATCCTTCTGCATGCCCATGATGATGCTATACTCATCCCTCAAAATATCCGAGCCCTCATTCCCGTACGCCGTGTACTTGCTCATCTCATGCCTCCGCAACGCCACCGTCCACGGAAAACTCGAATGCGCCACACCCATAAACGCGCTCGCCTTGAAGAGCATCAAAAAGTCCACAAGGGCATGCTGGTCAAACGTCAACTCGTCCAGCAGCTTCCGGTCGGGCCCCTGGAGCAAGTCGCGTTTCGTCACCACCGCGACGGTCTTCGTCTCCCCACCGGGGCTCGCCGCCACGCGCTTCTTCAGCTCCTCCTCAAACAGCTCCACCACCGTCTGGTTCCCCGACGCCACGTACACCACACTCAGACCCATGCGCTCAATGTACTGGAAGTGCTCCTCGAACTGGTCCTTCTGCCGCGAGAAGCGCCACTCGTCCGGCTGCCACGCGTCGATCGCGTCCTTCTCCAGCCGCAGGTGCGCGCCAAAGTACGCGTTCGGGTTGATCGCCCTGGCCGGGTCGATGGGCAGCGCGAAGCGCCGCTTCAGCTCGTAGAGTATCTTCGCCGCCAGCTCGCGCGTGTCGTTGCGGAAGGAGAGGATCTTGCCGAACTCGTGCACGAAGGCCGGGCCGTCGTCGCGGACGGGGTACTCTAGGAACGCCTGGCCGATCCGGACGTGCGTCGGCTCCTCCGTCCGGATGGTGACGTTCTTCTTGTCCAGCCATTCGTCGAAGAAGCGCCGCCATTCGCGCGGGTGTTCCAGGCCCTCGCGGGGGTGGTTCGGCTCGAACTGGTCGCCCACGAGGTCGAGTGGCTCCCCTGCCCGGGATTGGTAGTGGGGAAAGTCCTCGATCCGCTCGTAGATGCGCATCCCTGGGCACCCTTCCGTCAGATGGCTAATGAAGGTCTGGCGGTCGAGGAGATAGTCGAGCGGCACCTCCTTCTCGGTCTCGATGTCGGAGATGTCTTTCGCGTTGCGCAGCTGCATTGAAGGCACCACAATTGCGCCGCCGCCGTGTATCGCATACCGCACGCACTTCAGAATCTGGTCGCGCACCATGCCAATGCCTCCATGTTGTCCCTCGCAGGTAAACACCAGGCCCGGCCGAAATTGTGTAGCGGCGCATGTCGACTGTATCGGTCGGTAATCGATTGGCTCGGGAAACTCGACATTCATAGCCTGTCGGACGAACGCCTCCGCAACCTGCGGCTGGCTAGGCTCCTCAAAGTGGTACAGAAGCGTCGAGATGCCATCGTGGACGAACAAGAGGCGGATACTCCAGACGATGATGAGGGCGGCAGCCAAGGAGATCACCACCTGGGGTTGGCCTTGGCAGAGCATGGCCTTCGATCAATCAGAACACCACAAAAACAAAAAGACATGAGACGGGTTCCTTTTTTTTCTTCATCGACCATCACGGATTGGGGATGCGCCAAGGACACATGGTTGCTTATAGCCAAGACGGGTAGGTCCCAGCGCCTTGGGATGGACGCCTTTGGCGAGTTTTGGCGACCGGGGCGGGTTTCAGACCCGTTTCATGCTCATCTTCGTTTGGCGCGTTTTAAGGCCGCCAGCGACCCCGTGTTTTGTTGATTTACGGTGTGGTCTAGGGGCGTGTCAGCCTGGTCCGAACCAATTCCGGGCGTTTTTAAGGGAGTTTAGCGGGCTCCTGGGTGCTGACAGGAGCTTAATGGTGATGCGGATCTGGAACATTGCCATGTTCGCGATGTTGCCTTCCGTGCCGACCGATGCGAGAGCTCCGCAATTACGGCTTTAACCTCGGCCTGCTCGAGCCAACAGCTCATGTTTGTCGTCAGAGTTGAGTGATCGTTGCGGCCTTCAAACTCCGAGTAATGGCCTTCATCTCAGAAGAAAGGGATGATTGAAATGACCCGTCCGGAGACATAAAGCCGATACCGCTGACCGTTTTCGGGATCGGCGCCGCCCGCGACTCGCGAGCCCTCAAACGTGGCCTCCGGGAGCACAGACCGGCGAGCGGGTTAGTGGAGATCGATACCAGCTTTTCTCGCGTCGGAAGCCCAGAACAAGTAATCCTAAATAAGGTATCAAATGGTCATTTACACATCAAAGGGGAGGAATCTTGTAAATGTGAATTGAATGCAAAAAGCATTGAGAATCTGGAAGCTGGCAAAGAGTCTTTGGCTACATGTCAGAAAGGTATGCATTGCCCACGAGTGATAAACTGTTACATGAAAGTATGGAAAAAAGAAAGAAAAAACGTAGAAGGAAAGAAGGAAACGACAGATAACGGATGACTCAAGGGCAGATCTAATATCCATTGTCTCGAAGCCACGTCAAAGGCGACAGCCTTTAATGGACTATGTCGGTGTGATTCTGAACCCACCCACAAGACCCATGGCTTATCGCGCAAGTTCTAGCAGAGTCCAATCCTTCTTCCCTTCAAACTTTTCTTTCGCAGTTTGCGGCCTGTAGGCGCACCTTGTTATCAAGCCTCGAAGCATACAACATTCCAAGCAAGTAATTTAATATTACTCGTCTCTCATTGCCTCCATTCGTCGTCGACTTCCAAGCTTCTATCCGAAGATGCGCAACTCACCATGTTGCCATTCAACTACGATCCGTTGGACCTTGCCAAGCGAGGTATACGACTTCTGCGCCTTCTGAAAAGTCATGCCGGCCCGATATGCTGCGAACTTTTCGAAGTCAAAGTCACCGACCGAGGTTGCGATACTCCGTACGAAGCACTATCATACGTCTGGGGCTCGCCTGATCTCACTCACCAAATAGAAGTCAACGGCAAGGAGCTTTCAATCACTGCAAACTTACATGTTGCTCTGTCTTATCTTCGTCTTGCCGACACTGATCGTGTGTTGTGAGTTGACGCCGTGTGTATTGATCAAAACAACCACAAAGAACGAGGCCACCAAGTACAACAAATGGGAGATATCTATCGCCAAGCCCGACAGGTTGTCGTATGGTTAGGGGAAGCGACAAATGAAACGGACACCTTTATGACGGTACTCCAGAAGATTCGGACCGTTATGGAGAGTGAAGGATCCCCTTACAGAAACTGGGTACCGAAGTACGAAACCCCATTGCAACGATATTGGTACGAGCGGTGGAAGAAGGACTTGCGGGAGAACATGCACATGTGGCACACGGACGGGACCTTTTCGGAATACGAAATGTACTGCGCAAGACACGGTCTCGTCGATATCCTTGACCGTAGCTGGTTCAGAAGAGTCTGGATACTCCAAGAGGTTGCGAACGCCTCCATAGTCGTGGTTCATTGCGGAAATCTATCAGTTCCCGGCTTGTACTTCGCAGCTGTCGAAGACATCATCAAATGATTGTATGGGGCACGCAGGTTTGCACCCAGTGTTGCGGGTCCATCGCAAGCTGTACTGGAAATCATGCCGACTCGTCGTTTAGCAGACCATTCCTGGTGGAAAGATGAGGGCGCGCGGACGATGTTTTCACTGTTGAAGCATTTTGGTCAAAGTGAAGCCACGGACCCTAGGGACATTGTCTACGCCCTCCGAGGAATGTCCACGGATGACGGCAACCCGAACTTACCTGCCGTAAGCTATGAGATTCCTGAAGCGACGGTGGCGGAAAGAACAGCATGCTTCATATTCAATCGTCAATCGTAAACTCACATCTTGGGCTCGTCTTGACTCGATATCTGACCTGGTCGGGCAACTGGATTGGCTACTAGCAGCTTGCATTGCGGTTCACCTTGAATGCCCCCATCGCGATGATCTTTCCCATCTTCCCAACGGAGGCGTCATGGAAATCACGCCAGAGCACCTGAATATACCCCTCATAAGCGGACACTGGACCTTGATCGACAAGATCCTCACCCCCTCAACCGCGGACCGCATCAGGGTTTGTCACAGGAAGCTCGCGGAAACCTACCGAAACTGTGATTTCCACGTCCCAGAAAGCATGAGGTTTAGGTCCGGTATACAAGACAAAGACCTACTCTATGCCGCTCTGCAAAATCCACATATGGGCGCCCATATCGTAGACAGATTTTGGGAGAACGCAATTAGCAAAGAACACGCCGAGAACTGTGAATTATGGGTTATGGAGCTGATATGGTGGAATCGCCTTCACATCACACCTAGACCCAGTAGTTGCTATCCAAGTAGCCCCAGCAGTTTCGATCTAAGAAGCCAAAGCCTGGTTCATCCAGAGTGTCTCGCCGCGGAATGTCTCGCTGCTCTAGTATCGCAAATGATTCGTTGTCGTCGGCCTCTCACACCTCTCAATCATTATTGGAAAAGTCAAGAAGGCGAGACATTGTTAGGGTATGCCAGTAAAACAGGGAACATTTCCCTCGCGCAAAAGCTTCTTGTGCTCGGCGCAGATCCCAAGTTCGAGTCTATGGGCTGGACTCCCCTGATGCTAGCGGCCATGCATCCGCACGACGGCATCAATGAGCTTGCCATGACCCTAATTAAGAGTGGCGTCAATCTCCATAAGGTTGTTCGAGGTCAAACGGCAATGACTTCAGCGAAGAAGCACGGAAACACTGAAGTGGCGCGTCTGTTGTATGAATGCCGTCATTTTGATCCACACAAGGAGCCACGTATGGAGACACGCGAATCTTAGTAGGATCTTGAGAGGCGAGCGAACGAGCGTTGCCTAGCTGCATATGATATTCCATTGGGGTTGGACGAGCGATTCGGACTTGCATGGGGACACATTTGAATAGAACGAAGGATGGTCATTATTTTGCGCATACTTAATCTGGAGATAGACGTGCTTTTGGAATGGAATAATAAATAAAGTAAGAGTACTGGTAATGTGACTAATTCCTAATTGAGTTCTGTCCACATGTTGTCGTGATGTTCATCAGTGCGAGATCGGTCTTTCTATGGAGGTCATCTATCTATTTTGTCGTTTTGCAAAGCCAGGGTTCTGAGGCAGTGATTTAGTTGAAGCTGTTTACATAACTTTTAGGCTTCTTTATTCCGTTTTCTGGAACTGCTTTCTCTTGGAAGTGAGGCCGGTGAGCAGAACAGATAGCAGGGATGCCTGCTTGATTCGAGTCTGAAGCTCAAACGTGTAATACCCCGAAATCTCGAAGACTCTGTCAGATGTCAACAAGGCGAGAAAATCATTTTCTGAATGGCTCCAGAAACGGAGAGATTACCATTTTGAGACCTCAATTTTTGTAATTCGAAGACAAAGAAGGCATGGTCAAGGAGTAGGCCTTCGCTTTGACGTTGGGCAAGATGATGACTTTCAAGGTCTGTTCCTGGCCGTCGTTCGAAATGGCCTGAACGCCCGCCGGCCAGCGTGTTAACTGCTCTCAATTCATTCATGATGAATATTGGGTCTCTTGGCTTCGGGGGTATGTTTTCGTGGAAGAGGTATTTAGATACCACATGCCCACCGTTTGCACTCAATTCCGAACTCCAAGTCCTCTGTCACAACCCAAACAAGCTTACAATGGATTCCTTTACACACGAACCGCTCGACCTCAGCCAACCGTCAATTCGGCACCTCTGCCTACTGAAAGGAGACTACGGTCCCATTCACTGCCTGATCTATCAAGATCGCCTTGGCGACACGGCTATCCCTTATGAAGCCCTCTCGTACGTCTGGGGCTCATCCGAGCTGACGCATGCGATCACTGTCAATGGAAAGGGAATGCGCATCACTAAGAATCTCTTCCATGCGCTCCGTCAACTCCGATCCAATGAGCACGATCGAGTTTTGTGGGTAGATGCTATCTGCATCGATCAGCAGAACCACAGAGAGAGGGGACATCAAGTGCAGCAAATGAGCGAAATTTATCGACGGGCTGAGCGAGTTCTGTTCTGGCTAGGCGATGGTACCACAGACACTGATGCCCTCATCTCTATGTTGCAGAAGCTCAAAGATAAGATGGAAGGGCCCGGTGGTCTCTACAAAGGCTGGGTGCCGATGAATCAACACGAATTAGTGAACGAATGGATCGACCGCTGGCTGATAGATTGCAAAACCATGGCAGGCCATGTGATTCCGCCAAGCAGTCTTCACAAGAAATCTTTGGTTCGCGGCCTCCAACTTCTCCTGGAACGATCGTGGTTCAAGCGCGTGTGGATCCTACAAGAGGTTGCCAATGCTCACGCGGCTTTCATTTGCTGTGGAAAGATGTCCGTCTCCGCCATGTACTTCGCTCAATCACCGTCATTTATCGAGGCTTCGCCTGATTCTCATTGTCAAGCTGTGCTAGAAATTATGCCTGGACCTTCTCGCATGATTTCTTGGTCAAATCAACGTTTGAATTTGTTTTCCCTCTTGAAGCGCTTTGGCACCAGTGAGGCAACCGATCCACGAGACATCATATTTGCTCTTCGCGGGATTCCGAAAGAAGTAGCTCGTCTCGGCTTCCCAGACGTAGACTACGATATAACAGAGGCAGATTTGGCCCACAAAGCATTCAAGTCAATGTTTGGCGTCGCAATCCCATCATGGGCTAAGCTCAACACCATCAATGATCTAGTCACGCAACTCGATCGCTTTCTCGCCGCAGATATTGTCGGTAGCCCGTCCACAGCGCCACTCAGACACTTGGAGATAAGACTTACAGAGAGGTTCCTCCGTACCATGATCGATTCCGGTGGGGAGGGTATTATCACGGTAACGCCCAACTTGTGGCGTTGCGCCGACCAAGCTGCGGTGCTACATGCGTATCGCTCAGCTCATTTGGAGTTAGCAACATTCCTGTTGAATATAAGAGAAGAATGGATACCATGGCACCGCTTGGTGTACTCTGCTCTCCAAAATCCTTCTGGACAGGGAGAAAGGTTGATCGATAGTTTGTGCAAATACCTCAGCCGCGGCCTGCGCAAGGAACAGACGTCAACCGCAACACAGATGCTTTACCAGTTGTTCCACTACTGGTTCAAACGTCGTCCCAACAATGCAGAGTACATCAAAGAAAGCTTTGACCCATCATGTGTCTTAGCAGATGGCTTGACAGCGCTTCTGGATCAGCTCATCAAATCTGGCAGAAAGCCTCCTGTCAATTCATATTGGAGGGACAGCAGCGGTAACTCGTTATTGTACATGGCCGTCAAAAGAGGGAAAGTACGGGTTTTTCGTAGATTAATCAGTTGTGACCCAGATGGCTTGAAGATGTTCGATATCAATCGTTTACAGCAGAAGGGGGCATTCACTAAGAGGGGCACATCGGCGCACCAGTCAGCGGTCGCGCAGATGATTGCCATTCTCCTGCAAAACGGCTTGAATAATCCAGGAGACTTTCCAGCCGATTCAGGCAACGCAGAGTTGCGTGCTGTCTTGTCAGACTGTCTTAGTCAAGATGAAAGGCGGGTGCGCCGTAAACTAGTTCACGTTGGATGAAGAACCCTTCTTTTAGCCGAAACGCTGTTCTGTAACGAAGAGGATAACGATACCGAGCGCCTCAGCATCAGACAAAATCTTCAAATGGATAGAAAACACCTCAGATCTTGAACTTGAGACTGGAATTACCAATACTTATGGGAGTTGATATGTAAAAACCTTCCACTTCGGCAGGAAGTTTTGGCTGCCGTGGAGCGATCTGTTTCGCGGGATGTCTTATTAATATGCACAATTTTCTCGAAGATTCGGCAGCAGCCTTATCTTACTACATTGCTGGTGGTTTGGTTCAAATAATCCAGCCGAAGGACGGGGTCTATGGTTGGCCACCACGCAAGCCTCAGAGTTCACTATGGAGCTTACAGCTTCCGTGGGAACTGTAAATCTTGTCCAATCAAAGCCTACAGTGAGTCTGAGCCGGGCTACTATTTATTATGAAGAGCTTGGTGCCTAAGAACTTCCCTTCCCGTATCTTGGATTCTGTGCCATCCACTCCTTTACCATACCGCGATAGTCCACGGGTGTGTAAGATTCCCAGAACTCAGCCCACTTGCTCGGCTTTCTTTGCGTCTGCACACCAACCTCACCAAGTAACATATCCCAGTATGGCAATTGATCAAAAACAATATCCGTGTACTGGCGTCCATGTCCATAAGGTGCTCGGTGTTGGGCCCACCTCTGCATGAGCGCAGTTTCTTCGTAGACCTTGCCAGCACGAATATCCCTGTCGAGCGTCGGAATCTTGCCCTCAAAGTAAGCCAAGGCCCACAAACACTGGACTTCCAAACGCATGATATTGGCCAAGTTGCTGAAGACACCGAGGAAGATGAGTGAGCGATCATCGTTGGCGGCGAGGCCTGGAGGCGCTATGCCGCGGTACAGACGCCAGGGGCTGTATGATACCTCGACTGAGGCACCGGGATTGAAAGGCTTTGGTTTGGACGAAGTAGGACTCAAGAAAGGACCGTCCAGCAGACGAGGGAAGCGGGCG